GTCACCGTGAGTACAGTACGATGTCATGCGCTAACTCGTGAAATGTTGGCCGAAATCCTGAAATGCATTGTCAGCACGAAAAGATTACGTATGTAAAGTTGTAATATTAATCACCGTGCAGCATGAACCCATTAAAATTCAGTTGTTTTAGGATGCCAGCTTTAGAACGAACTTCTTTCCGGCCGCCTGCGAAAACTACTTTCCACAAAAAGGATTATGCCTCTTGGAAGACATGCACATAGAACGACTACTTTTGTAGCATGGATTTGTCTAATTGATTTGCCCTGCCCTTATAAATTCGAATATGCCTCTTGGAAAACATGTACAAAAAATTGTCGTTCTTTTGCACATTTGGAAGAAAAGTATGTTTTTTCAATTTTTTCCCTAAAAAGGAGGCACAATTTGGTTTTAAAAAGTTCCATGATGCCCAAATAATTTTAAACCCGACCTTTTGTTACATTAACATTCAGGGTTTCCATACTACAAGCCGTATATTTTCCACGCAGAGAAAACTATAGGTTATCTACGGTATTAAAACGAGACCTCATCGAGTTCTTAAAATGTGGTAGAGAATTTGAGCTCTATTTAAACTTTGCAAGCAAAATTGGTAGATGCAGAGAAATGAAGTTTTATGAACGGGTATTTAGCGGTCATAAAAATCTCATAATTAGGAGCTTACTAAAACCAAATTATACCCTACCTTGGAGTATAAAATTTTATGAAATCATAATTTCATGCCCAGTCAAAACTAAATGAATTCTTTATGCATATTTCCATGAAAAATATTTAAATTTATGAGGACATTGAAACTCAATGAGAAAAATGAATACCATATACAGTAGGTGGTCTAACTCATGAAATGTCAACCGAAATTCGAACTGTGTTTTTGTTTCGAAAGGATTAATTAAGCAGGGTTGGAAACCTGATTCTCGTGCATCATAATTCTATAATAATTTAGTTACCGCAGTCCGCCGTCTTCAAAACGAACTTCCTTTCGGCCGCACGCTAAAAACAATACTCTGTACAGTTAACCACTAAATCAGCATGTATTTTTTCTTATTGATTTTCTATGCCCGTAAAAATGCAACTATATCTTGTTGAAATCATGCATAAAAATATACATGACATTGCTCATTCGGCAGTAATGACGTCTTCCTACTATTCTTTACTTACAGAAGGACTATAATTCGGCATTTCACAACTTTTCCAGTTCCCGAACAAATTTGAACTCAACCTGCCGTTACACTTGCATTCTGGGTTTCCAAAATGCCAGGCGTATGTTTTCCGCGTACGGAAATCCATGCATTTCTCTACGGTGTTAGCAGGAGACTGTACGAAGTTCAGAAAAATTTAGCAGTGGATTTGAGCCATATTGTTAACTTTACAAGACACATCGGTAACTTCAGAAACATGACATTTTATGGACGGCCGTTTCACGATTTTAAAAAAACCCACAAATATAGGCTTGTTTATCACCGAATTACTCTTTTCCTTTGAATGTACAATTTGAAGAAGACGTCATTTCCCATCCAATGAGCAATGGCATGAATACTTTTCTGCATGTTTTTCATGAGATATAGTTGAATTTTTAAGGGCATCAAAAATCAATGAGAAAAACGCATGCTATTTAAGTGGTCATTTCTACAGAGTAAACTATGTTCATGGAGCCGAAACAAAGTTCGCTTGAAAGCCGGCAGGACAAACAGTTTTCCAACCCTGTATTATTAATCCTTTCGAAACAAAAACGCATTTTGAATTTCGGTTAACATTTCATGAATTAGACCACCTACTGTAAGTAGTCATTTTTTGCAGGCAGTAAAAAATTCTTTCAAAAGCCGGCTTCCTGTTGTAATTAAATAAAATATTCCGCAAGGTCACTAACACTACAACCCTACTTAAATAAGTGGGCTAACTCATGAAATGTCAAAAGCTATTCAGTAATGCGTTTTCGTTTCGAAAAGATTAATTATGTAGGGTTGCAAAACGAATCATCGTACAATATAGTTCTACAAAAATTCAGTTTTCCCAGGCGTCGGCTTTCGGATAAACGTCTTTGCGACTGCATGTAAAAACTAAACTCCAAAAAAATGCCTACTTATGTAGCATGCATTCATTTCGTGATTTTCGATTCCCTTCAATATTGAGTCATATTTCATAGAAAGCATGCATATAAATATTCATTCTTTTGCTCAACCGGTAGATAATTACGTCTTCTTTTAATATTACACTCGACGAAAGGGCATAATTCGGTTTAGAAAAAGTTTCTACTTGCGAGATTTTTAATACCGTGAAATGGCCGTTCATAAAACCTCATGGCTGTGCACTTACCAATGTGACTTGTAAAGTTAGCATGGTGGCTCAAATCAATTGCTTACTTTTATGAACCCACTATGGTCTCCTACTAGTACCGCAGATAAATGTATGGTTTTCCGTATGCAGAAAATATAGAGCCTGTCGTTTGGGAACCCTGAATGCATGTGTAACAGCAGATCGGGTTCAAAATTATTCGGCAATTCGAAACGTTTTATAAAATCAAACTATACCCTTCCTTCGGGTGAACTATTGAAAAAAGATGTAATTATCAAATGAAGGGGAAAAAGAATGAATATGTTTATGCATGTTTTCCATGAAATATAATAAAATATTTAAGGACATTGAAAACCGGCGAAAGAAACGCATGCTAGATAAGTAGGCATTTTTTACGGAGTATGGTTTTTAGATGGAGCCGGAAAGAAGCATGTTCGAAACCCGGCATCCGAAGGGTAACTGAATTATTATGGAATTATGCTGTAGGAGGATTAGTTTTACAACCCTACTTAATTAATCTTTTCAAAACGAAAACGCTTTTCGGAATTTCTGTTGAGATTTAATGAGTTAGCTCACCTACTTCAGGTAATCTTTTCGAGTCGAAACCACATTTTAGAAGTTTTGTTATCATTTCGCACGTTAGCACGTCTGCTGCATGCTCCGCAGAGTTTCCGTCTGTTTGTAAAATCTGCCATAGATTCGTACTGCACGCGTTAGGCAACAGCGACTGTGCGAATACCCACTTACACCTTTATGCAAAACATGGGCTTGCGTCGTTGTGAAGTAAAAAGGGAGATGGAGTAATTAGGTTAGTGCAGCTTGCATGCCACTCCTCCGTGTTCGACGCGTCTTTGGCTCATTAAATCGCGCCTGTGGGCGTGGCTTGGAAATATGCCAAACGACGGAGGTGTTTTTATTTTCTGCTAGAAGATCTTCTAGTCTTGGATCAGCTGGTTGCTGAATTCAATGTGGTGAGCAGTCAGTATTTACCATACCAGTTCCCGTCTGATTGGCAAACTAGCAACACCCTTTCGAGAGATGTGGTGTCAGAGACAATTTTGCTGAGTGTTTCAGCTCAAACAGGACAGGCAAATCCTTCACAAAAATGAGAGACCATCAATTCTCATGCCTGTTTTCCCTTTCCTAAACAACAAGGATGTGATTTTATACCAACCTCCGGCATTATGAATGGCCTAGATTGTTCTTTTTGCCCCCGGAAATCCTTCACTCAACCGAACACGCCCAATTTGCGCGGTCATGCTTAGAGCTACGCGCAACCAAAGCAGGAATCAACATACGTCAGTAACAGAGTGGCTGCAGCGCTGAATGCCCTGCCTATAGATGTTGCACTCGCCTCCTGTGTGGACTCATTTAAGTGTAGACTCGGCACGTGTCAAGCTTCCTAGTTACCAGCCGCGCATGCGCCCACATAACCTGTCAACTAACTTACAGTAGGTGGGCTAACTCTTGAAATCTCAGCAACAATTGCGAAATGCGTTTCCTTTTCGAAAAGATTAATAAAGTTTGGTTGTAAATCGACTTAAACATCCAATTATATTTCATAGACAGCATGCATAAAAATGTTCATTCTTTTGCTCATTGGATAGGAAATTACGTCTCCTTTCAATTTTCTACTCCGAGGAAAAGGAAAATGCGGTTTTATAAAGCTATTCCAATCCCGAATACTTTTAAGCCCGGCCTTGCATTCAGGGTTCAGAAAGTACAAGCCGGGTATTTTGTGCGTACGGAAATTCATTCATTTCTCTGCGGTGCTAAGGGGAAAGCATATTGGGTTAATAAAATTAAGCAGTGGATTTGAGCCATATTGTTAACTTTACAAGCCACATTGGTAAATGCAGAGATATGAGGTTTTATGATGGGCCAATTCACGGTATTAGAAAATCTCACAATAAAAAACTTTTTAAAACCGAATTATACCCTTCCTCCGAGTGTAAGATTGAGGGAACACATAAATGGAGATCTTTATGCACGTTTTCCAGGAAATGTAATTGAATCTTTAAGGGTATCGCAAATCAATTTAAAAAAATGTAGTCTAAATAAGTAGTCATTTTTGCAGTGTAGTTTTTTAATGAAGCCGGAAATACGTTCGTTCGAAAGCCGGTGTCCTAGGGTAACTGAACTTTAATAGAATTACGCTGTACGACGATTACCTTTACAACCCTACCTAATTAATCTTTTCGAGACGAAAACGCAGTTCGAAATTTCTTTTGAGATTTCATGAGTTGGCTCACTTACTGTAATGTGTATATACTACAGACAACACATGAATAGTCATCCATGTTTGTCTTTCTTGACTAGCAGACAGCTGTCTACTTTCGTATGGAATAATGCAAACGATCTCTCCCAGTTTTTCAATAATCATTGCCTTTTCTTGGACAGTCTGCTACCAATAGGTAGTTTAAAAGCGTTCGCCTATTTTTCCCTTAATAAAACTGAACTGAACTGACCAGATGACCGATTATCTTGTGGTCTCGTGTGTGGTTACCATCGGGGCCCCCATCTTGAAGATGACGAGATGGTAATCGGTGAAACTGCAGGCGCCCAAGATCATCTTTGTCACCAGCAGGGCCCGCCCATCCCGCCTCTGGACAAGAACGCGGTCCAGCATTGACCAGCGCCGAGATTATGGATGTATTAAGGCTGCCCACTCCCACGTCCTCCAGGCGCAGGCGATGATCGGCGCAGACTCAAAGGAGAGGTAAGTATTTGTCATTGCAGCCAAAGATTCCAGAGGGATCCAGCTCTACCCTTCAGATAGCGTAGTCTGTCCCGGTGCGAGCACTGATGTTACCAATGACAAACAATTTGCCTGCCTTCAGTGCAGTCACAGAATTTCTTCTCCACCTCATCAGAACTAATCATTTCGGGGCGTAGACGATGACGATGGGGGCGACTTTGGCTCCCCGAAGAGGCCAGTCTATGCTCATGAGGTGGGCGTTCATGCCCTGCGGTAGACAGGCCAGTCGTCCCATGACGTCGTTCAGGGTGGCATAGGCAAAGCCAGTGTCACGTCGCTATGCATTTGGGCGACCGCTCCAGACGTACGCGACAGTTGAAGTGCCCTGTAATCGCCTATGTTTGTTTAAAAGTGTTAAGCCCTAGCGAAACTGCGGCAAGTTTGGCCTTTTGAGCGTCGTCATGTGTGCGTGTACGAATAAGGGACTGTTCCTTAAATTATTATTTCATGTGTGCTACTGAATTTAAATAAGTAGAGAAGTAGGAGTAATTTGTTTTCGCAATGAGGTAGTGAACGGATGACAGTCCGAGGGCTGCTGAACCAGGTTATCCGGTCTCCATCACTCCGAGTAGAGGGGAGGTTGAGAATTAAAGTTAATGATCTGTTCACGTAAATCTATACTTAACTAATTATTGAAATGTCTTGACGATTTTAGTAGAAAATCTTCGATACTCGCAAAGAGCGATGACCACCTGGCGCACAATGGTACGGGCGCCACATCGGTTACTTGCAAATTAGTTGATCATTAGTGAGGTCGACATGAGCAGAAACTGCTGCACTTTCTCCGTCCTCAGCAGGTGGCGCGGGCGCAGTGACTGAGCAAGCTGAGAAGTTTGTCTGCGCTTGTCGCACATTACCCGGTCCGAGCACCAGGCAGAATGGCACACCGAAAGACGCCCCTAATGTCCACAATTCGCCCCACCACTTGGTTGGCGCAGGATGACGGCTTTATAACGGCAACAGACTTGCGCAGCACTATAGACACATTCTTCTCCCTCACCCCCTTGGCTGACGTGGCAGAACAGAGTCAGAAGGACCGGACGCGGTACCTGACGCAGCTGCCGACAAACCTAATCAGTCAATCTACGTTTGCCGCGCACGACCCGAACTACACACGATAGGCTGGGTTGTCGAAGAAACAAGGGGACATCGAGTTAGTGACAGTATCCTTGGGCTCGCATTGAGAATAATTTATTGCGGCTTAATACTTCGTCCTGACAGGAACTATTTATTCAAACATATTCCGGTTTTCAACGCCATGACTTCTAGCACATCGTGGTTCCAAAGCGAGTCAGATCCTTTATGATGGGGAACACGCCGAAACGTCGCGGGGACGGAGCTACTATAGTCAGTCTCTCTCTCTCTTCACTTCCTCGCATACTAGTCTTTTGTCCCAATCGGTGAGGCATGTTTTGTTGGGATCGGCGCTTGAGCAGACACTGCGCAGCTCGCTCGAAGGATGCATGTCTTAATACAGCCTCAGCGTTGGTCCAACACAGCTCCCGCTTAGCCCATTTTACGGGAGGTCAAAGTGCCTACCACCTATGTGAGGTATAAGTGCTCCCTCATGCAAAGATCCACCCACCGTATCTATGATAGCAAAATAGATGGCATGTTTGTCATAAGAAAAACGGCGCGGAGGGTTGCCAGGAGATGTCGTGTACACGCTTTTGTGGAGGAAACGCACGTCACCAGGGGGTGTGCGCTACGGTAGGACCAGGTATGGCGATGGAGTTTGGACTGCGGCTCTTTATCGAAAGCCTTCATGATGGCCCACACGGTCGCAGAATTTTATACGATGACTAAATCTCCTTGAGCAGTGTGGGCTGGTGAAACCGGCGCAGCAGGAGTATATTTGGACTCCTAGTGCTTGTTCGACCGATTCAGGGTAACTGATTGGCAGGGCACTGACCAGGACAATGAGGGATTTAAATATTTACTGATAGTAGGAACGGAATAAACACGTGTCCGTTGATTGGGTTATATTGGCAGTGAGGCTTAGGATGTGGCGTTGTCGACGGTTGGGATGCGTCTGGTGATGAAGAGAGTAGTCCATGGAAGCGAAGAGACGAGTCCCAGGAAGCAGTCTTGAAGAAGAGGACGATCGTGTCTTCTTCTTCTAGAACAAAGTAGTGCTGGGGCTGGAAATACTTTTGAACGGAGGATGTGGTTGGGTTGTGGTGACGCTATGATTAGTCTACCTGGTGGCTAACCTTTTTTGACATCTTCTTCTACACCTCCTTACCGCTGCTCCACTCGTCGTCAGACTGGTAGGGTGAGTCCGCCCACTCTGGCAGTCTGGTATGTTCGTTCCCTTTTAAACAATCCAAGGAGCAACCGACCGGAATGGAGGACAGCGCTAGTGGCCCGGGAACTGGCGCGCTACAAGGTGGACATCGTCGCACTCTGCGTGACCCGATTCTCCGAACAAGGCCAACGGGCGGAAGTGGGTGCCGGTTACACCTTCTGGAGTGGTCGATCCAAGGCAGAGCGACGAGATGCGGGTGTCGCCTTCGCCATCCGGAACGACGTCGTGGGGCGATTACCCAGTCTGCCGCAGGACATCAACGATCACCTGATGAGCCTCTATCTGCCTCTCTGGCGGGGTGGGGGAAAATTCGCCACCATCATCAGCGCCTACGCTCCGACGATGAGCAGCCCCTACGCCGCCGCAAGGGACAAATTTTTTGAGGACCCGCACGCCCTCTTGGCGACTGTGTCGAGGGCGGACATGTTGATTGTCCTTGGTGGCTTCAACGCCCGCGTCGGCACAGACCATGCTGCCTGGAGAAGAGTGCTTGGTCCCAATGGTTTTCGAGGCCCAAACAACAATGATCTGTTGCTCCTCTGCACCTGCGCAGAACAACGCCTCATCCTGACGAACACGTTCTTCTGTCTGCTGGAGCGAGAGAAGGCCACCTGGAGGCATCCTCGGTCGCGTCAGTGGCACCTGCTGGACTATATCCTCGTCCGGAGGCGAGATCAGTGAGACGTTCTGGTGAAAAAGGCGATCGTGGGAGCTGACGGGTGGACCGACCATCGCCTCGTCATCTCGAAAATGCGTATTCGCCTACAGCTTCGCAGGAGACCACAAGGTAAGCGACCCCCAGGTATGCTTAATGGTGCCTTGTTGTCCTTGCCCGCTCACCATCTGCATTTCAGCAATGAGCTAGCTCAACGGCTAAACAACCTTCCAATCGCTGCCGACGCCGCCGCTGCCGAGAACGCCTCCGTGGAGAACCGATGGTGTCAACTGCGAGACACGGTCCAGTCGATGGCGGTAGCCGTCCTCGGTCGCGCACGCCGCCAGCACCAGGACTGCTTCTACGACAACGACGCCGTCATCAGTAATCTGCTCGCTGAGAAGAACCGCTTACACAAAGCCTACATAGATCACCCCACCGACGACAACAGAGCTGCTTTCTACCGTAGTCGCCGACAACTTCAGCAACGTCTGCGCGAAATGCAGGACGCCTGGACTGCTCGCAAAGCTGAGGAGATCCAAGGGTACGCGGATCGCAACGAATGGAAGAACTTCTTCTCCGCGATCAAAGCTGTCTACGGTCCGCCGACGAAGGGCACTGCTCCTCTCCTTAGCGCCGACGGTGGTACTCTCCTGACTGAGAAGACGCGAATTCTACAACGATGGGATGAGCATTTCCGCGGCGTCCTCAATCGCCTCTCCGCCATCTCCGACGCTGTCATCGCTTGCTTGCCGCAAGTGGAGACCAACGTGGACCTTGACCTCCCGCCATCTCTCCAGGAGATTATCAGGGCCGTGCGGCATCTCTCCAGCGGGAAAGCACCCAGATCGGACGCAGTCCCTGCTGAGGTCTACAAGCACGGTGGTTCCCAACTGATGGATCACCTGACTGCGCTCTTCCAGGAGATGTGGCGTCAAGGTGCAGTGCCGCAAGATTTCAAAGACGCAACCATCGTGCATCTCTACAAGCGCAAAGGGAACCGCCAAGTATGCGACAATCACCGCAGCATCTCCTTGCTGAAGGTCGCCGGTAAGATCTTCGTTCCTATCCTCCTCAATCGTCTTAATAATCATCTGGAACAAGGCCTTCCACCGGAAAATCAATGCAGCTTCCGTCTTTATCGCGGGACAACGGATATGATCTTTGCCGCCCGTTAACTGCAGGAGAAGTGCCAGAAGATTCGGATCCACCTGTACTCTACCTTCGTGGACCTGACGAAAGCCTTCCACACGGTGAATCGTGAAGGACTGTGGAAGATTATGCAGAAATTCGGCTGTCCGGAGCGATTCACTCAGATGGTGTGTCAGCTGCACGACGGTATGATGGCGCGAGTCACGGACAACGGAGCTGTCTCAGAGGCCTTTGCAGTGACCAACAGAGTGAAGCAGGGAGGCGTGCTGGCGCCTATCCTCTTCAGTCTTACGTTCTATGCCATGCTGATGAACGCCTACCGCGACGAACGCCCCGGGATCCGCATGGCCTACAGGACGGACGGTCACCTCCTGAATCAACGGCGGATGCACTTCCAATCGCGCGTATCCACAGCCACCGTTCACGAACTCCTCTTCGCCGACGACTGCGCCCTGAATACCACCTCGGAATAAGAGATGCAACGGAGCATGGACCTGTTCTCCGCCGCCTGCGAGAACTTCCGCCTGGTCATCAACACGCAGAAGACGGTGGTCATGCATCAACCACCACCCAACACAGCCACTCCTCCCAACGCGCCACAAATTAGCGTAAACGGAACCCAACAGCAAGTGGTGGATAACCTCCCGTTCCTGGGCAGCAACCTCCCGGTAACACCAAAATCGATGACGTAGTCGCCAACAGGATCTCGAAAGCCAGTCAAGCCTTCGGTCGTCTCCAAAGCACAGTTTGGAATCGTCACGGACTTCAACTGAGCAAGAAGCTGAACATGTACAAGACCATCTTACTGCCGACTCTGCTGTACGGAGCGGAGACGTGGACAGGGTACAGAAGACAGGCACGCCGACTGAACCACTTTCATCTCAGTTGTCTCCGTCGCACCCTGAGACTGAACTGGCAGGACCGCATCCCCTACACTGATGTGCTGGAACGGACGGGGATCCTCAGCATCTACGCCATACTGAGGCAAATGCAGCTGCGTTAGAGCGGCCACCTGGTGCGCATGGACGACGAGCCACTACTCAAACGACTCTTCTACGGAGTCGTCGCGACGGGTTCTCGCCTCCAAGGAGGCCTAGAAGACGACAGTAAAGACAGGTGCCGCGATCTACAAGGCCAACCGCATCGCCGCCGCCAAAGTGAAACGCGAAGCACGCAAATCACAGCTGCGCCCAACAAGCATCGCCGAGGCACAACTGCTTCCAACGTGTCCTCGGTATCAACGGACATTCCAGGCACGAATTGGACTTATTAGACACCTTCGGATCAACTGTACCTCTCGGACCGCACCCACTGTCATCCCTCCGCCCGCCCCCTCCCCGTCCACTCCGCCGCCGACTAACTCTGACTGTTCGTCCGAACCATCACTCCCACTGCCCCCGACTCCAGGGGTGAGGACCAGGACTACACCTGCCCTCACTGCGACCACACCTTCACCTCACACATCGGCCTGGTCGGTCACTTGCGAATCCATCGCACAGGCACTGAAGAACTAGTGCCTGGAGCACCAACCTACACCCACCGCACTCGCCTCCACTGCCCTCGCACCTTTACACATCGCACGGGTATATTCGGCCACATGCGCATCCACGAGAGCGGAACTGACCGCAGTCTCGACTCATCCATCATGCCAAACCTCACACCCACTTCATCACTCTGCGTGCCAACCGCCCCTCCCGCAACGAACACCGACATCACCGACTTCAACTGCCCGCACTGTCCACGCACATTCACCTGTCGCATCGGCCTTGTCGGTCACTTGCGAATCTATCGCACAGTGGCTGGCGAACCAGTGCCTTGAGCACCAACCTATACCCACCAAGCTCGCCTCCACTGCCCACAATGCCCTCGCACTTTCACGCATCGCATGGGCCTACTCGGCCACATGCGCATCTACGACGACCTGCGGTAGACAACCGTCGGCTACACCACACCATAACACCATCCCTCCCTGCCTTCACCACCACCACCCCACCACACATCAACACTCACCCACCGCAAGCACCCAGCTGCCACCTCCCACGCAAGTGGGAAGTGTGCATCTCGACTCCTTCCCCATGGGGCTTTGGCTGCACGGGTGACTTGAGTCTGAGACTATCCCGACACGTCAAGCGTCGTGGATAGGAAGGCTGCTGATTGACGCCCCCACTCGGTCCACGCAGTTCGTCGCGTTGTGTGTGTGTGTTGTGTAGAGTGGCGAACTGGTGGGCTGGGAGACGGGCTGAAACTGCCCCTTTCACGCAAGTGAGAGACACGCCGTTCAACCCCCGTTGTGTGAAATCCTGGTGTATGTGTTTCAGGGGCCAGGTCGTGCAATTGGCGCACGCAGACATGGTCAGTCGACCATGCCAGCCACCGCGCCCACTCCCCACTCCAGTCTGCTGACCGGCTCGGGCAGTGGATGGGGTGTGGGGATGGGAAGGGAGAGTGAGGTCGCCGTCTCAGTGCACTTTCTCCTCATTATAAACAATCTGACGCGCTTGAAGCTATCACGGAGCGCTAAAAGCCGTGGCTTGGAAGGTTGCCAACTGACGGGATAAATTGGACCTCCCCCTGGATTGGAGGTCTGAGAGTCAGGCTGCAGTGGCTCCTTCTTACTGTGGCCTTTATGGCACTCCCACTGCCAGGTGTTGACGGCCCACCTAGGTGCGGCTTCGGTCGTGCCAGCCTCCAACCTCTGTTTTGTTGGTTGAAATCCTGGTCATTTGTGTGTGGACCAGGGGGTGTGGTGGAACGCCGAGGTGAGGATCGGTCCGAGCCATCCACCTGCGACCTCCCTCCTCTCCGGTCTTCTTGACTCTGTTTGGACACCGGACTCAGGCGGGGAGGAGGAGAGAGTGTAGGTAGATGCAGCGCAAGTCTACTGGCACTATAAACCCCTGCGCAAGTCAACGTCCCTGCTCCCACCGCTGCTGCTGCAGCTGTTGGGCACACGGTGGACATCGTTGAAATCGACGGTCGAACTGTCGTGTGTGTGTGTGTGTGTGTGTGGATTTGCAGATTGGTTGTCCTGAAAGCCAGGCTGAAACAGCTCCCCTCAACGTGACCTACGGTACTCTCACGCATGTGGGATGTACGTCGCTCAACCCCGGTTTTGTGAAATCCTGGTGCTTGTGTTAGGGGGATCGGGTCGTTTATGTGGCATGCGCAGACAAGATCACAACCTTATATCAGCCATCGCACCCATTCCCCGCTCCAGTCAACTGACCGGCTCGGACAGTAGTTGGAGTGTGGGAATGGGAAGGGAGAGTGAGGTCGCCGACTCAGCGCATCTGCCTCTATAGAGACAATCTGATGAGCTTGGAGTTATCGTAGTGCGCTAAAAGATGTAGCTTGGAAGGTTGCCAACTGGCAGGATAACTTGGACCTCGAAGTCGGCCCAGTGTTGTGTGTGCTGGTATGGAGTGAACGGCTGGTGGTCCGAGAGTCAGGCTGCAATGGCTCCTTCTTAATGTGCGGATGCGAGCCGGGTATGACGGCACACCTCACTGCGGCTTCCGTCGTGCCAGGCCCCCGTTCGCATTGTTGTTGGTCAAAAACCTGGTTATTTTTTGTGTGGACTAGGGCGTGTGGAGAAGAGCTCCAAGGTGGGGCTCGACCGTGCAAATCACCAGCGGCCTCCCCTGTCTCTGGTCTTCTTGACTCTGTTTTAACATCGGGTCCAGGTGGGAGGAGGAGGAGGAGGACGAGGAGGAGGAGGAGGAGGAGAGGGAGGGGGAAGGGGAGGGGAAGGAGGAGGAGGAGGGAGTGTACTGGATGCTGCGTAAGTCCACATTCACTTTAAACTAAATCACGCGCAAGTCATCGTCTCTGCTCTTACCCTGCTGTGGAGCATACGGTGGACATCGTCGGATGCGACGGTCGAACTATTCTACCTTATGGGTAGTGCCTCTCAGTCGATACCAGGCTGGCTACCTAGCATTTGAAGAGTGATGATCATGGTTACGATTCGTCTTTCTAAGACTTAAGGATTGTGCACGGCTCTCGCAACCTGGTGCGCACTGGCTGTACTCTGACACCTGATTCCCTACCTGCAGATGCGGTTGCGTTCCCTCTTGGTATACAGGTCGTGTAAATGGCTGCCCAGTTATCCTCCGACGCATTGTTTTTTGGTTAAAATCCTGGTTAAGTGTTTTTTGTGGACCAGGGGGTATGATGGCACGCCTAGGTGTGGGTTCGGCCGTGCCAGCCACCTGCGCCCTCTCCCACCTCCGGTGTTTTTGGCTCCGTCTTGACATCGAGCTCAGATAGAGGAGGAGGAGGAGGAGGAGGAGGAGGAGAAGAAGAATGTGCGGTAGATGCGGCGCAAGTCTGCACTCGCTTAAAATTAATTCACATTCATGTCACCCTCCCTACTTCAGCTTGCTATGGGGCACACTGTGTACATCGTTGGACACGACGGTCGGACTGTCCTGTCGTGTGTGGTGTGTTCGAAAACGCCCGTAAGACCTCACATGATGGCCTTCATGTTTCCTGGAAATGGATGAGAGTATCCCCTTCTGTCCCAGTGATGATCATCGTTGCAATGAAAATGCGAAAGTGAAATAAGATCTTTGTCGCACACATGTTCCCTATTTTAATTTAACCCGCAAATAAACCGTTCTCAAAGAAATCACAAGCCAAAGTCCTTAAAAATCACACCATCTGAGTAGTCGATGGAAGCAAGAACATACAAATTTCCCATTATTACCAGCTGGTGATTAACGTGAGTGTCTTGCCTTCCAGGCATAAGCCCTGTCGCAATTAAAGCAGACATTTTTGCAGATTTGGAGGCTCACGCGGCGCAATGAATAAGGGACTGCAAGGTAAAAAATAGCGTATCCTAACGTCACAGCTGCAGTCATGTAATGAAAAGGCCACCAAGTTCGTGACGAGCTATAATTATCCAATAGTTCAAACACGGTGCTGCGGCACACAGCACACACACACACACATACCTCTGACATTGTGCATTCTGTTTTCTGCGAAATGATGGATCCTCAGTTTTTGCAGAGTGCCGGCGAACGCGCAACCAGACTTTTATCAGGACGATTGGCAACGTCTTATTTTCTCATATGAGACAAAGAGCTCTGAGTTGGCAATACTGACTCAGATTTCGAACGATGACCGCGGGAAATAAAGAAGAATTGATGACCGGTAGGGTTTTGCTCGAGGCCTTCATCTGTTCTCCGTTCTTTTTGATGTCTCGCAAATATGTGATCATTTTATGTAACGGTCTGCAGACGCTTAATTTAATGTTATTCAGTATCCTAGGTAAAGGAGACTGAAGATGCATCTGTTTTCTTTACAGATTGTAAATAATTGTATATGTTCGGTCATAGGCCATATGAGTTTGCTTTCGTTTTAACCATGAAGTACCATCCGACTGTGATTAACTGTGCGAATACGTGAAGCTTTATCATACGACTTCTTTTAATCTAAAACTGACCGTTTGCAAATACTATCTCCAGAGTGTATTCGATTCTTTCTGTATGGTGGGGCATTTTATGGACGCAAAGATGCTTCAAAAATGGATCACAAAAGTGCAAGAGACTTTGTTGATGAGAGTTTTTTCAGTGTCCGGTTTACAAACTCTGAGGTGGACGAATTTGTTGTCTTGAAATGTAGAGCACTTGGCAAACTCTTTTTCACTCACTCCGACATGCCATATAACGACGACGCAAACCGTCTACGGAAATCAGCAGAATTTATTAAATTCGATCGAAATTATAGCAACTTTTAAAGTGGAATGCACATCTTTGCGTGCCGGAATTAATTTGAGGAAGGTAGAAAACGAAGCGGCTGGTTTTTTGAGAGTTCTATTTCATTTATTGGCACCCAAATAGCATAAACTTTGAACTGTATGCTTCATTGAGGTGTGATGAGTCCTCGATGTAATCTGAAAGAGAGGACGAAAACACACAACTAAATTTAACATTTGTGTTGTAGTAATCATATGTGTATGTTGTCCAGAGGCTGCGGAAAACACCATTAGTTTATTTAAATTGGAATTAGTATCCTACTGTGCATTTAAAAAATTCGTTTAAATGCATAAGAGCACCGTAAATGGACTTCACACGCTACTTAAGTAGTGACAGGTCCTCTGCGTAATAATGGAAAGAGATACTGGGGTCATTTTGCCTCATGCCAGTCGGTAATGCCACCGGTGGATCCTCGGTCAACGGGATCCATCTTCTGAGAAACGACGGGGATCACAGATGATAACTGAAGACCCCCAATCCCACGTTCTAGCGCTTTGCTCTAAATACAGGCGGGTAATAGACAACATAACGAGGCGCTGTCGGATACTATTGATAGGTAAAAAACGGCAACTAAAATTCATCTGCCTGCGGCAGTATCTGTCAAACCCAGGATATCGTCGATGGGGTTTTTTAAACCCAAACTTAGATTCAAGATACTGCGCAATTTTGGCTAAGATACAGGTTGCCGCGACGCAAATACATGAAATAACTCCTATACGGAGGCCTGGCGATATCTGAGTGTAGGTGAGATAACTCATGAAATGTCAGCCGATATTTCGAAATGAGTTTCCGTTTCGAAAAGATTAATTAGGTAAAGTTGTAAAACTAATCATCCGGCAGTATAATCCTATGATAATCCAGTTACCGAAGGCGATAGGCCTTCAAATGCACTTCATTTCGACTTCATGCAAGAACTATACTCTTCAAAAAAGTGACCACATAAGTTGCATGCACTTTTCTCATTGATTTTCTATGCCCTTAAAAATTCAGCTATATTTTGTAGAAAAGATGCATTCATTCTTTTGCTTATTCGATAGAAACTGGTGACTTTTTCCAATTTTATATTCAAAGAAAGGGTATAATTCAGTTCTAAAAAAGTTTCGAATTGTGAGATTATTTAATACTGTGAAATGGCCCTTCATAAAACGTCATGTCTCTGCATTTATCAATGTGGCTTGCAAAGTTAACAATGTGGCTCAAATACACGGCCTAATTTTATGACCCCTATAGGGCCCCCTTTTATTACCGTAGAGAAATGTGTGGTTTTCCATACGCGGAAATTATACGGTTTTTAGTTTGGGAACCCTAAATACAAGTGTAACGGCAGGTCGGGTTCAAAATTATTCGGGAATTGGAAAAGTTTCTGAAAAGCGAATTATACACTTTCGTAGAGTATAAAATTGTAAGAAGACGTACGTTGCCCTCGAATGAGCAACCGAATGAATATTCTTATTCATATTTTGCATGAAATATAATTGAATTTTTAAGGGCATCGAACATCAAATCAACAATTAGATGCTAATAAAAGCGAAGAGACGAGGCAAAGGCAGATAAGGGTGGTTCAGCCTGTTAACATGATTGCAGCAGTGGAATCAATCCTTAGTCAGACGGAGTCAACAGAGGAGACGAAGAGCCTCATCCGACACCAAGTTTCGTCTCTCCTAATGGCCCACAGGTCGCGGGAATTTCTTTTCCAAGGTCGAACGTGACGCGCTTAGAGAACTCAAGGCCGACAAAGACCTGGTCATCGTGCCAGCGAACAAAGGACACGCCACAGTTGTACTCGATAAGACAGACTACCTTCAAAAAGCCAAGGGTTTGCTGGAGGACCGACAGTTCTACGTCCCATGTGAAACGAACCCTTTAAAGGCGCTGACACGCGAAATTAATGCTAGGTTGTTGGCCTTGGAGGACTCAGGTGCAATAACACCGACCAAAAGACGCATGGCGACACCCCAAGATACGGCTTTGGCCCGATTCTATGGCCTCCCTAAGGTAAACAAAGACGTCACTCCTCTCTGGCCCATCGTTTCGCTCAAAGGTACTCCAACGTACGGACTGGCTAAGTGGCTGTTCCGGCGTCTCAAGTTCCTGACTGTTGAGTCAGACACCACAGCCTCCTCGTCAGCACAATTCCTGGAGAAACTCAGAGGGGTAAGCATCCATCCAAATGAGGTCATGGTATCTTTTGATGTTACATCCGTTTTACTTTTATTCCCCAGGACCTGGCGATCGAGAAAATCGAGCTGCTTCTACAAAGCACATACGATGAAACGGAGAATCGTCTTGGACGCGCCCAAGTACTTCAGCTCACGAAGTTCTGTCTCGACGTATTCCACGTTCGACGGGACAATCTACGAACAGATGAAGGGCACGCCAATGGGTTCGCCGATTTCGGGATTCATCGCCGAGGCAGTCCTGCAACGGTTAGAATCGTTGGTCTTCCAACACCACAAACCGAAGTTCTGGGCCCGGTATGTGGATGATACCTCCGTTGTTATCGACCGAGATCAACCGCTGACATTCAAGGAACGTCTAGGAGGAGTAATTGGCAGCGCGGGGAGTGCACAGACGAACACTTTTCTCAACACGAGGGTCGATGCGTCAGATGGTCGAGCAATCATCACACCAACATCCAAGGCACGTGATGAAATTGCAGCAATTAACGACGCGAATGTCGGCCATCACGCAACGTGCAACGATCCCTGATGAAGGGAATGAGCCGTGGATATTCGTAGGTATGCGGTAGCATGGCTACTGCATCTTATAAATACTGCAGCCGCATATGCATGAACCACCCTTATCTGCTTTTGCCTCTGATGATGGATTCGAGCAGAAATCCGAAACGTCAGGCCCCGGCGATCGTGCCTTCTTCTTCAGTTACATGCTACTCATGTAGTCGTGTTTTATAGAGTAAAGTTCTTGCATGAAGTCGGAAAGAAGTTCATTCGAAAGCCGGCTTTCTGAGGTAACTGGATTATTATAGAATTACGCTGCTGGATGATGAGTCTTACAACCGTACTTAATTAATCTTTTGGAAGCAGAAACCAATTTTGAAATTTCAGCCGGCTTTTCATGAGTTAGCCTTCCTACTGTAACCTCTAAATTGCACTTGAAAATAAAGATAATGGAGTACCAACAAAGGCAAGGAAGAACGAAATTGCAATTTCTGGCTTATTAGCCGTCATAAACCATTTACATTTAATCCCGGGTGTAAACCATACTGGGATTCGAAGTTCGGATCAGTGGTCATTGGATCAAACGTTCTACTAATGAGCCACGGGATCGTTTTTCTGTCGACTGCGATCGGGAAATGGTCATTCCGGTCTCTCTTGTCTTTGTCCGCACTTCGTTATCCGCATATGTTACTAGCAGCTTAGGAAATGAATTCCGGGTCTTCCTGTAACACGGTTGTTTTCTGGATTGCATAATCGGGAATGAGCTTCTTTGTGGTGGTGGTGGTGGTGGTGGTGGTGGTGGTGGTGGTGGTGGTGGTGGTGGTGGTGGTTCTAGGAAATTTGGCTGCATTTTATCTATATAGTAAACAATTTTCATAGCTGTTTGTGTTGTAGGGGTGGCGGATAGGATGTTAAAAAGCCCAGTTTGAAGTAAACACCTGTGCTTTACATAGCATCTAGGTATTTTGGACAGAAACCTAAGAAACGTCACTGTTGGCTTAGGATTGGAACGATCTATATTGCAGTACTTTTCGGAAACGAGAGCAAATATGTAAGAAAAAGAAAAGTAGATTTCATACGCAACTTGACAGTTCGACCGTCGATTTTGACGATGTCCACGGTGTACGCAATAACAGGGTGACAGCAGTGATGGTGAATTGCGCGTGAATTAGTTTATAGTGATGGCGAGCTTGCGCAGCACATATCGCACTCCCCCTTTCCCCACCTGAGTCCGGTGTCAAGACATAGTCAAGAAGACAGGAGGCGGAAGAGGATGGTTGGCGCAGCCTGGCCGTCCCTAGGCGTGCCGTAGCACGCTACGTAATTAGTGATTAGTCCTCGACGTGATGCAAGAAATGGGTACTGGGGACACTGTGCGGCTTCCTGTCGATCGGTTACTCGGTCAGGTCATTCAACAGCACCCATTGCTACAGGTGAAAATGTAGGTTTGCGGACATGGCGAAGATCACGGATGAGAACTGGAGATGCCCCATTCTCCATTCTGTCCTCTTGCTCTCCCCGCTGGATAGGAGGCGGGTGATGGAGGACATAAAAAGGCGCCGTCGCATGTCAGAGATAGGCGCAAAAAACGGCAAGTGAAAATTAGTTGTCTGGGATATCATTGATCGAGTTTATCAAAATAAGACTTTATTACTAGCATACAACCAAATTTTGGTCTCAATGTAGGACGCCATGGTGCAAAAACCTAACATTATTCCTTCACAGAAAACTGGCGACCAAACAAACTGGTATAGATTCAGTCATAGTACGTCTTCCTTTCAGTCGACACCTAGATTAACGGTGTATTTCGGACTTTAATATTCCAGTAATTACAAAGACTTCTGAGGCTTCACTAGAAAACTGGGTCTGAGCGCCTTCTGGGAAATAGAGTGGAACCCGCATAGGTTGCTATAAATCGTTAACTATAAGACTAATTTTCGAGTGACCGGTAAGAAAGCATTGGTGGAATCTTAACTTTTGGAGTATTTCGACGTTTACATAGAATTGGCCCTCATATTTTGGCATTGAGATACAATTGCTTTTAGCCTAATCTTTACACGACTGCCTGTAAGGACTTTAGACTGAACCTCTAGACGGGGCGAACATGCCCCGCAAATTGCTCAATGAACGCCATTTTGTCCCACTTGCAAATCCCCCTCAAGTAATCGGCATGCGTTTTCTTCACTGGTCATGACATAAATTCATCCATATGCCTAGCGCATTTCTTTCGTCTGGAATTTAAAGTGAAGACGCATTTCGTCTTCTGATGCCTCAGTAATTGCTAGAGCTTTGTAGGCGTTAACAGGAGGATTCGGTCTCCTGCGACACTTAAAGGTCCTAAATACTTTTCGCGTGCATCCCAGACGTTCCTAGTCGCCAGGAGCTCTCTTAACAGGGAACCCGAAACCACAAGAGCGGGATTATTCGTCTCTAGTAGTAAATAGAAGTTAGTAAGTTTGCCCATTAGAGTATTTAACTTGGAATGAGTTATCTTTCGGTATTTGTGCCAAATAAGATTAAACATATAACCGCACTGAACATATATTTCAGGTTCTGGCCAATTAATAGTTAGTCACCAGTGTAATTTAAAGGGGGATGTTGGGAAAATCCCCCAGCTAGTAGTCAAAATCTTGCTGTAATAGTGTCTCATGGTAATTGACAATGTAACACAAAAAGGTTTGCCCACCTACTGAGGAAACACGATGACGCCCAAACAGCTTTTTCGGCTTTTCCCCGTCAATTCGCCTCTAAAAATAACTGTAAGGATACAAACAGTGCGCTTACCGTGGAACGTCCAGGGGTTGAGTATTCCATCGCCTTTGCTAATAAACAAACTCCCATATTTCAGCACCTAAAGGCGGTTGTACACTCATGTGCAGTCAGCGACATATCTCATGAAATGTTTGTCGAAAGTATGAAGGACGCTATCGATTTGTAAGGATTGCCTAAGTGGGGTTGTATGTTGACCATCTTGTGGCCTAACCCCGTAATATATCAGACATGTCAGAATGGTTTTGGAATGCAAAATTATTCAGGGGTTAAAGCATTTGTAAAACACCAGCCACATCATTTTTTCTAGAATATATTTCTAACGCGACATTATTTGCTACCGAATGAGTACAAGGGGTAGTATTTTTAGAGTTTTTCTGTAAAATACATTTGAATTTACAAGGGCTGTAAAAATCAATAGTGAAATGCATAATGCTTAAGTAATCATTTTAACCGACTGTGATTGCCCCTGATGGTCGAAAACAAAGGCCAGCACCCTGGCCTGTCTGAAATATTATAGGACTACGTCGCAAAATAATCAATAGTAAACTTAACTTATCCCTCCTTATTGAAAACTAATTTCAGAATTTCAGTTGATATTTAACGAGACCGGTTAGTGACTGTATACGACTGGCTGAAACTGATTTCAGAGTATACGGGGGAGCGACCGACTTTCCGAAGTCATTTAATACTTAACCCCCTTGCCCCTACATCAGATGGTAAGTGTGTGGTGAACATGAGTGAGAAAATTTAATTGTCTGGACTTCAATGTGGTATGGGGAACTGCAGGTTGTTTTTATGCTATACAAGTTCGCCTTAACTGACCCAAAACGGTTTTCATGGTTAAGAGCAGGTTCATTCCATTTTATCATATGCAATGTAATTTAACCGATCATCGTTCATAGGCATATTAAGATGGTAAAAATCTCTTTAGTTGTCTGCCTCAAAAACTTTTTTCATCGATCGTAAAATTACCTAGGGTTTGAGAAGAACTGAACATTTTTTTCAATGCAAATCTCAGTCAACGAAAATATTCTGCGGACGCTTAAGCTAGTGATATTCCGAGAGACCAGAGCCAAAAAATTATGATGGTCAGAGTACTTTTCTAAGTCATTTTTTACAAGTACATCCTATGTGAATTTTGCGGCATGCCTTTCTTTGCGCGTAATATGAGCGTCGCTATTTAAAGCGTCTAATGATCAAAGAAAAGGCTGGCACAACACACCAGGGGTAGAGCTCTTTTGGTTGGTTCCAAATAATTCTTTATGACGCAAATGTGCAAAACTCGGCGCCTCGGTTAGTTGGCTGATGAATACCTACCGATTCAGAATTTATGGCGCCTTGTGTATCTTACCAGAGACTTGTTAGGATCTTTTCCGAATGAGGGCTTCAATTAACGTCTCGGGACAGTCGGCCACCACGACAAAGCAAATCGGCGACGACGATGCTTAGCACAAATAAGAGAGGATTTATTTCTCATCATTATTGATATCCTTGTTCAAAAATGGATCATTAGTAGACGGTGTTAAACAAAGCTCACATTAGCTGGCATGCTGTCGACATTTCCTCCAAAAGAAGTCGCGCATTCAGAATTTCTAGACACGGAAACATTGTTCTTCCGTAATAAATTTGCACAAGGCAGATGCGGCTAAATTTGCAGAATTTACTGAGGTCATGGAATTTCACGAATTATTTTTAAACTGCATAGGGTAACTGCATATCAATAGGACGAATTCTTCATTCGGAAAACGGCTAAAGGGATTTAACCTTATAGGCAAGTACAAATGAAGAATATTGGTCTGACATGCCGGTGGATATGTTGTGATGGGGAGGAGAGAGAAATTTGCTTAACTGATCTACTGATTATCTTATTTTTGCCCTCAGCTTTCATTTCAGAATCTGCGGAGTCAGTTGACCCAGTTGCCACGCGCACTTGCGTGCGCCCAATGCATTTGTATCCGAAACTACATCTAACCTCATAAATACACCTGGATGGAGCGTGCACAGACAGAAGGTTTTACTCGATTCGACATAGAATAGGGCCACGCAGCTTACGAGACACAACTGAATTCGCCGATTCCGTGAGACATGCAAATCCTAATGGGAAAACGATGCGGTCCCTAGACGTCTCGTCCTTGTTTACAAACAATCCTTCTACGGAAACAATATAGTTTTAGGTGGCAAGATTGTAAGGCTAGATTTCCAAAGCGGAATGGCGATCGGAGTGTCCAATTCAGATTCAACGGTAACTTTTGCGGCCTGATCGACGGCGTGGAGATGGGATTATGCCTTTGACCTCTACCTCCGTCGAATTATAAGGAACCTTTATACCTTTGCTGGATAGGTTGATGAGATTTTCGAAATAGTGAATGAAAGGATTGATTTGAATGTGCTCCAGCGAATCAGGCTCATCCAATATTGACCTTCAACTTGAAAAAAGAGAGTCGAGACTGTCTCTTCTTTCTGAACGTCCTGCCTAATCGAATGCCGGATGAAACAGTTAGTAGAAATGTAAATCACAAGCCAGAAACGAAGCTTTGTCCTCTGCCTCACAAACCGATCTAGGAGAATATGCACTTCTGATAGGTTTGAAAATGAACTCCCAACTATATAAAACACTGAGAAAAAAATGGCTATCCCGAAAACTTCAGCAGCAAATATGTTGTTGTGACAGCGGCAGAGAGGAAGGAATTATTTCTTGCAATGCCCTTTCGAGGGGACCCCATGAGCGAAATCCTACATCGCTGCCTAAATGCCGTAATAATTCAGACGTACCCAGTCGCTAAGACAAGACTGGTTTTTCACAAGTATCCCGCCCTTTCGCCTTGAATATAAGGACAGACTGCTTGTGAAGACCTCTTTAATGTGCATGTACGCCTTCACTTGCTGTTGTGGGACAGGTTATATTGGTCGAATAACCAGGTGTCTATCCAAGCGGATGCGAGAGTACCATCCTGCGTGGCTTCATCAAAGTGGAGAAAAGTCCATTTTTGGCGCAAATGTGGCCCACCTAGTTGACAGTGGCCACTGGGTAGAGGTCAACTAAGCATTCCAAGTCATCTACAAAGTACCGTCGAGACACTCCAAGTTCCTGCGTCAGCGAACACTTGCGACAGCAAAAGTAGTGGCCATAAGGTCAGCCAACCCAACCTTTTGTCCGCGTAAAGCGTTCGTACGGGCGCTAAGGCTCCCCTGAGCAAAGACAAACTAAGCATAAGTGTTGATACCCACAACTACTGGTCAGAAGCCTCTCCCTACCCCTCCCTAAGAACCTGAAAACATTAGAATTTGACCTCTAATTTCCGAACCCCCCCCCTAAATCCTTTCCCCCATACTGACTTTATTGGCTGTTTACTTTTGCTATTCTGCCCTCCCTTATATTAATGTACAGTCCTTCTGATGGATAATCGAAGGCGTACCTTTGCCGGACTTGGCTCCTTGAATGTTCACCTGGGTATCGTCGCTGAACTAACCGGAAGAGCCATGGTGGTGCTTACGAAAAGCAAATGTGAATGCCTGTTATGTTGTATATCATAGTCTTCGTTTGGTCACGTTTGACACATAACCTGGCATTTTAGCACGGATATTTCTAAAGTATTCTCTTATCTGGGATGGCGATATTTACTGATGGGTACCTCCGAACGCCCATTTCATGGAAAACAGTCTTTCACGCGACTGCCCTATTCATCAATCTATTTAAGGAACATATTCTAATGGTTCTGTTGAGCAGGCGGAAAATTAAGTTTTGTTTTGTCTGAATGTGAATGGATTTGAGAAATTGTAGGTACCATCCATTTCAATTGGTTTTTACTTAGACGAATCCATTAAGAAAACCGTCAGAAAGAGTATGGTTTACGTCCGGGGCCATTTTCTATAAGGAGCGATTGTGTTGAGGAAAAGAGCCGAGCATCCAAGAACTTTGTAGTATCACAAATTCTGATCCTCCATACCGTTCCCAATTAAAAGGGGACACTATTTTTACCACTTAATGAGTATAATAAATACATTTACCACCCATTTGGAGGCATTGTCAAAAAGTTATTCCATTGTCGTATTTTTCTTCCAATGAATACTTTAAAGGTTCTTGACTAACCTAACGCAGCAGCCCCCGAGAGGTCTTTTTATTCCTTTCTCTGGCACCTACAAATAAATAACGCCAGTCATTTACTTTGAGGACAGTGAAGTGACCCCGGGCGTAAACCATACCCCTACCAAACCGTTTGCTTACCCCTGTACAAGAACGTCCAAGAAAGGCAATATGTCGCTCTTCTCATGCTGAAGCAGGCATGCAGGGCAGGATTTAATGGTACCAAAAAAATTCCCGACAACTTGTCGGCTGCGTCCCGTCACTTCTTAAGTTAGATAACGAGTGGGAAGAATACAACAGATTTCAATTCGTGCAGAAAATCAATGCAGAAACAGCAAGATCATAGTTTTGGGTAAAGCTGGCTAATCGATAAAGTTAGTAACTCAAACATCGTATGGGAAGAATAGTGGAAAAACGGGGGGCATTAACGAGCAAAAAAGAGATGGGAAGTGAAAATCATGTAGCTGGAGGTTGCCATGGCAATTTTAGGCTAACCACGTGTTCCAACTGTTTACAACGATCTGATTTCACCTGCCGTATATAGGCCGCCTCTAGGTAACGCAATGTCAGAGTTGTTCGTGCCCGAACAAGTACTCGGAAGGAAGTTTTGGGTCCACGGAGTGACCACTATCAAGCAGGTGTTTCGTAATGAATTAACGCGGGATTTTATTCTCTTGCTGTAGGAGCGATCTGGGCAAGTGCGCAATAGACCTGGCTGTCAAATGCCTTTGTGTTCGCCCACTGTACTTGCATCCGCAAGTGCATTTGAATTCATAAACACAAACTGGCATTGGCGTGCATTGGCAAGGCATCCTTCGCCCGTGTTATCGGAAGAGGCCTGCATAATACGAGGTCGGCTGCATTGTATGTCGTTTCAATTGCGGAACGCAGCCGTCGTTTGATAGTATTTAAAATATTGTCGTCTTTAAAGGGCAAAGATCTAAAAACGCGACAGAGCTTTCCTGAGGTGTGCAAGTTCTGCATTCAGTGTGTCATTGGAGCAAATATTCCTAGCCCTTTGGAAAAGAGCGTATACCAAGTTACGTTTCCATTGTATGGGTACAAAACTTAAAAAATGCAAGTAATGTCTCTTCCAAATATTCTTGTAAAAAACGGAACGCCTTATGGAGCCATCTTCCTGTCTAAACATAAGAAAGTCCAGAAAGGGTGGTTGATTGATCTGTTCCTTCTCCATTGTACAATTCATCCTTGGATGTAGCTTATTCATAATAGGAAGCAATTCTTCAACCTCCTTAATGTCTTCAACAATAGCGAAAACATCATCGACTTATCCTTTGTGGAGTGGCAGCATATTCAATTTCGCGGACACTTTTTCTTCTAGATGACCCCTAAAGATGTCAGTAAAGGTAGGGACGAGAGGACTTCCCATCGCCACTACGTCAATTTGACTATATAATTTTCTATTAAAAAGAAATTGAATCCTCTTTGTGCACAATTTCAATGCCTCTCGTAGTGTTTCAGGTGACAGACAAGTTTCAGATGCATGGGTACATATGATGTCTATTTTTTCAAGCTCTTCTCATGATTAATCGTAAAGTTAGTATTTGCATATGCCTTTTCATAGTCTTGAGTAACGATTCGCCGTTCATTCGTGCTATTGACGTTCATGTGCCGTCTCTAAGAAGTGACTCGCTGTAAGCTTTGGGTTAATTTTCGCTTGGGGCTTGACATGAAAATTCCTGCTAGGACCGACTCCAATGGACTGTCCATATTTATATCGTTGCTCTGTCTATCCAACTGCCCATCGAAGAAGAGCTGTTCAATCTTGCCTCATGATCGCAGTAGTCGCCGAAGTTGACCTAGCACAAGCATTTTTCAGTAGCGTGCTCACAACTTATGTAAGTGGCTTCATGCAGCGACACGTTTGTGAACAGGCTCTGGTTGGCATCGACACCGTTTAAATCCCTTTCAGTTAACATGCGGCAGTTGCGTAGCCAACAGCAACTACCTCTGGCAATCGCACCAGGTTCCTCTGGATTTGGACTTCTGGATGACCATTTTTCGCTCATTTAGCAGAAAACCACTTTCTCCAGTTTCATTCAGTCAAAATTCCAAAGCTATGGGTGCAGCTAAGCCTCTGATACTGCACATACATTAAACTTAGGGCGAATCTGGTGAAATAAGACCTCTCTAATATGCTCTCCAGTTGACTCGACTATGATGTGGATTTTTCTGGAAAAGTGGGAATAAAATTCAAAAAAACCTAAGGGAATCTAGAATATAGTTTAATGGAATTTCTAAGCAATATAAACGAACAACGCCTGATTAATTCTGGTTTGGTGCCTCCAAATCGGAAATTAGAAAGAATGGTCTTCCGAAAATGAAACTGCCAGGCCTGTACAGCTACGTCGGTTTTTAGTGCCTACTATACGACACACATCTACACACTAGAGTAGGTGTGTTAATTCATCAAATGTCAACCGAAATTCCGATTTGCGTTTTCGTTTCGAAAAGATTAATTTAGTAGAGTTATAAAACTAGTCAGCCCGCAACAAAATTCTATAACATTTCAGTTACCTCAGGATGCCGACTTTCGAACGAACTTCCCTCTGACTGCATGTAAAAACTGCACTCTGCAAAAATGACTACTTAAGTAACATGCATTTTACTCATTGATTTTCGATTACCGTAAAAGCCCAATTATATTTCATGGAAACAAGCATAAAAATATTCACTCTTTCATTCGTTCAGCAGATAACTACGACTTTTTTAATTTTACATTCGAATGCCGGACATAATTTGGTTTTAAAAACGTTTCTAATTGTGGGACTTTTAAATGCCGTGAAATGGCCGTTCATAAAACGTCATGCCTCTGCATTTGTCAATGTGGCTTTCAAATTTAACAATATGGGTCAAATTCACCGCTAGAATTTATGAAACCTATACGGTCCCCTTTATTACCGTAGAGAAATGTGTGGTTTTCCGTACGCGGAAAATATACGGCTTGTAGTTTGGAAACCCTGAATCCAAGTGTAACGGCACAGCGGGTTCAAAATTATTCGGAAATTTTTTTTAAAACCGAATTATACCTTTCCTTCGAGTATAAGATGGGAAGAAGATGTAATTTTCTACCGAATGAACAAAAGAGTGAAGGTTTAAATGCATGTTTTCCATGAACTATAATTGCAAGCCAATGAGAAAAGGTAATGCTACTTACGTAGTCATTTTTTACACAGTGTAGTTTTTGCATGCAGCTGGAGGGAAATTCATTCGGAAGCCAACATCGTGAGGTAACTGGAATATTATAGAATTATGTTGCAGGCTGACTAGTTTCACAACTCTACTTAATTAATCTTTTCGAAACGAAAACGCATTTCGGAATTTCGGTTGACATTCCATGAGTTATCCCACCTACTGTATATTGGCATCCGTACAATAGACCAAGGCTTGGTGTGCTGGGCCAACAAGGGGGCTGGATCAGAACGTGACACGCGTTACTAGACAGCACCCATAATAAATTGCGTACATAGGGATGTGGTGGCATACCTATGCGCAGACCCACACCGCACCCTGTCCGATCCTACCTCCGGTTTTCTTGCTTCCGTCTTCACATCGGGCCAGGTGAGTGGGGGAAAAGAGAGTGCAGACGAAATAGCGCCTAGAAGCGAGGAGAAGAGTTCGGGGAAACAGTCGTGGAGAAGGGGACACGATCGCTGGGACAAGAGCTTTTTTCGCCTGACGTTTCGGATTCCTGCTCAAATCCATCATCAGAGACAATAGCAGATGCGGCTGGTTCATGCACTAGGAACTGTAGGATTTATAGGATTCAGTCGCCGTGCCACAGCATGCCAATGAATATTCACGGTTCTCCCCCGCCTTTATCAGGGATCGTTGCACTTGGCGTGATGACTGGTTGATGGCCGTTGATCGCTGCAATTTAATCACGTGTGTTGGATGTTGGTGTGATGATTGCTCGACCATCCGACCCAATGACCCTGGCGTGGGCACCAGTGTATACCTGTGCGTTCTCCGCGTGGTTAGTTACTCCGCCACCCGTATCTGCTTTTGTCTCTAATGATGGGTTCGAGCGAGAATCCGAAACGTCAGGCGATCAAAGCTCTTGTCCCAACGATCGTATTTCCTTCTTGACGATACAGCGTCTGTCTACTTTTATTTTATTTCATGAGCAAAGCATCGCCCCTATTCCTATATCCTGTGGGAAACATGAAGGAAAAGTTCGGAAACGGTGTCTTAATATGATGTATTAGACAATATTCGACGTGTGTGTCACTACTCCCGATCCTTGATCTGTCAATTTGTTGGTTCCTGTATTTGTGCCGACGAACAACTTTGTCATCCATTCATTTGAATACACCTTTTTCTGTTGCCTTATCAAATATTTGGCCGAACCGCCAATTCCTCGCTTGGTGAGCCCCTACATTCCATTACACAGCCAGATTCCTTCACGCCAGCCATGCTGACTGCGTGCTAAGAAAGTGATTTGCAAGGGTCCTTAATGTTTCTATGTTGGTTAAGTTCGTCGTCTATAACCTGTCGGATCATGGTAGCATTCGAAAGGCCCACGCCTAAGAAGTCGAGAGTGAATATGCCTTCCACATGACAAGGATCTTCTCCGCAGAAGAACCTGAAAGTGCTTCGAAAGTGACAGATGACGTCCGAGTCAGCGGTGACGCCGTACTAGGCGACTGTAAGGACACTTGCTACAGCCAGGGCTCAGAATTATTCCACACTTCCCATAGACCTCCTGCTTCTGTAGAGCACATCTCACCCTCCAGGAGAGACTCCCAGTCCTTATTCTCTTGAACGATGACTCTGCCCTTAAGTTAACTTTTTAAGGCGGGACTGGCGGTCCCCTCGGAAGAGCGGATTCGACGAGTGTCGCTTGGCTTGCCACATAATAAGAGTAGGACGCCTCAACATTTGCGCACAACTACAATCGGAAAATAGTCGCTCTTCGTGCGTAAAATGCCCTGACCCCCTCACGCACCATACGCACCTAGAATTTCGCTTCTCTTTGGCGTTGATGTCTTCTAGGAAATTGCCCTGGCTATATACTTTACTCAGCATTTTCCGGTGGACGATGCCTGACTTGGCTTGTTATGGCGAAGATAAGTTTTATTTTGGACGGCGTACTTGCATATAGAGGCATTGTCAGAGGAAGTTCCAAAGGAATTTATTCTTTCCGCACCCTGTTCGGCTCTAATTAGTAGAAAATCCCGTTCACAAGCGAAGTACTTATATTTGTATTCTAATGTTGTATGTCTGTTTAGAAGGCTTTCCTTGTTGAATGACTGTTATTTGAAAGTGTTCGTTTCCATGACATTTTTTGGTTCAGCGCTGAAGCGTGCATGCTCTCGGAATGGACGTTTAGTGTCCCGGGGCAGTGTAGAGATACGAGATATATGTGACCGGTGTGGGCGACGACTGGAAATGCGGCCGCCCTGAGTCGAAGGCAGTGCTGCCGACCACTATCATTGGGATGTTTGGGGGCTTGTCCAAGGCCCTACTGCCTCAAGGTCCTGTACACTTTCAGCAAATGGTTCCAAACGCATTGACCTGCAGCTGCTGGGAAAACTTCGGCTGGAACATCCCTTGCGCCCACACGGTCGCAAATGCCCATGCGGCACTTGAACACACCGCAACTTGTCCAATGCATCACACATCAGTTGGACAACACTTGGACTTATTCCCTTCAAACCTACAAAAGAAAGTGCCGCCATTTGTCCGACTCCCTTTCTCTCTCAGGCACTACCTAACACCCTCAGCTAATGCCATGGCTCCTGTCAATAGCCACCGTTGCTTGAGAGTGCAACTCAGGGTTCCGTATCCATAAATCCTTCATTCTGGCGACTTCTGTCTTTTCCAACAACTCCGGTTTTTCCCTGAAGATTATAGCTCTTCGAGTACTTACGCCACTTAGGCGCTAGGCCATCTCTGATGCGGGATTAGTTCTGGTGGGCTTTTACGGATGGGGCACGTGCAAACAACTAAAAGTGCAGAAATTGGGGAGAGGCAAGAATAGCTAACCTTCGAGCATTTGTACAAGTTGTTTAAATGATTACGTAACTCGTAGTGAAGTTACGTGTGATTTAAGGGAAGTTAAAGTCTTTGCCAACGGAATTTCGGAAAGCGAAAACAGAATTACGGTTTGGAGGCCAAGTTCACGCCAGCTGAATCTGTCGAGCACAAACCAATCGAATGTAGAAAACCATAAGGCCATTTAGTTGCATTTCCGACCGCAATAACCGAAATGCTTCTAGTGAATACCCCGTTCGTAATTTTCTGCTAGTGTACTGAGACACTTCTATACATACAGAAACTAGGGTGGAGGTCTAGGCGCAAAAATAGACTACATTCTATAAAACGTGTTCAACGAGGCGGCACCTATGGGAGAAGGATACACCTGTCGAAGGAGACAACCTTCCGGCTGGGATGGCAGCCGCCAAGACCTGGGGTGTCCTGAAGATAGCTCTCTGCCGTATTTAAAGATTGTCAATTCGTAAAATTGATGACACATTTGAATCCGCCCTTGTGATTGGCAGAGGTATGTGTTGGGAATAAGTTAAGCAAACGAGAGCTAACTATGTTCCCCTTAACAAATTTTGTGGTCTTGCTGTTGTTGGTTAGAATTCTGGTCATTTGCTGTGTGGCCAACGGGGGGGTGGGGAGTGGAGGGTCAAGTTGGGGACTCGGTGGCGACATCCAATTGCACGCTCCTCCTACCCTCGGTCTTCTTGACGCTGTACTTGACACCGAGACTAGGTGGGGGAGGAGAGGGTGCGGTAGATGCTGTGCAAGTCCAGTATCACTATAAACTAATTCACGCACAAGTCACTGTCCACCGTGAGGTGGAGCACACAGTGGATATCGTAAGCAACGACGGTCGGGCTGTCGGTGGTGGCGAGGATGACCATGGTGAGGAATAAGGTGTCGATGATAAAGATGATGAAAACAAGGAGGGGCAGTGCCGGGTCCGGCTTAAAGCTCGCAGGTACCGCGGGGTGCTTCCTGTAATAGTCAGTGTTGCGTTATCGACAGCGAATTCGTCACATATGCCTTGGTCGTGGCGAGGAGGTGACGTCTGTCCACCTGATTCACCAGAGCTTCAGCATGGATTACATCCGACTTGCCAGTAGAAAGTTAGTCACTATTAGAAAATTTTCGTCTTCACAAAATTCTCTAATAACCTGACTCAAAGTTTTCCTACCACTGATAAGCAAACTCACCCCACTAGAGTGCAGGCAAAGCAACTTGCAACCTTTTGCCTCTGGAGGCTAAAATTGTGGACAACTGAAGAAGATGGAGACCCAGAAGCTGAAGATGCGGTCACTGGATGAAGACATTTACTGGCCTGACGTTTCAGATTCTCACTCCACTTCATCATCAGAGACATTCGCAGATAAAGGTGGTGGCACAGGGAATACAGCATTTATAGCACGTGTCTGCCGCGGGACCATATGCGACACTGTAATTAACAGCTCTCGCAATCACCGCTAGGGTCGTAATTGATGCGGTGGTGGCTTATCAGTCCGAGTCCGAGTCGTTAATGGCCGTGATTTCGTCATCCGTGCTGGGTGCTGGTGTGAGGATTGTTCGGCAAATTGCCTCACTGTCACTGAGATAATTGCTCGCCCGCGCCCTCCCCACGTGAATGATTCCATGCTCAGGGAAAATCTCAGCACGTAATATACTAACGGGAGGTCATTGAACTTGATGAAGAATTGCGGGCCTGGGAACCATGACTCGAGCAGCTCGCGGCTCACGCAGTTGTCACCCCTTGCGAGGATTTCGGCCTCTTAAAACTTGCAAACATGGCCGGGTCCCATCGAAAGAGCCGCCACCTGAGAGGTAGTGTCTCCCGCCCGATGGAGACTCCACTACTCTGAGATGGCTTATCGGCCTGGATAACACAGTTACAGGAAACTGACAGTCCCGGTCAGAGTTCCCCGATGTGTAATTGCGGCGAAATCCATTTCATCAAATTGCAGAGTTTTGTAGCCTAGACTATTGGTACGCACACGCGTGGGTTCCACAACTGTGCCGAGCGTGTTAATCCAACCGACAGTTCGTCCGTCGATTTCGACGATGACCACCGTGTGCCCCACAGACTGCATTGTGGGAGCAGGGACGGTGACTTACGCAGGGGTTTATAGTGCCAGTAGACTTGCGTAGCATCTACCTACACTCTCTCCTCCTCCCCCGCCTGGGTCCGGTGTCAAGACAGAGTCAAGAAGACCGGAGACGGGGGAGGCCGCAGGTGGATGGCTCGGACGGATCCTCACCTTGGCGTTCCACCACACCCCCTGGTCCACACAACAATAACCAGGATTTCAACCAACACAACAGAGATTTGGAGGCTGGCACGGCCGAAGCCGCACCTGGGCGTGCCGCCAACGCCTGGCTCGGATCCCACACTGTGATGGGAGTGCCATAAAGGCCACATTAAAAAGGAGCCATTGCAGCCTGACTCTCAGACCGCCTCCCGTTAGGGAGGAGGTCCAAGGTACCCCGTCAGTCGGCAACCTTCCAAGCCACGGCTTTTAGCGCACCGTGATAGCTTCAAGCGCGTCAGATTGTTTATAGTGAGGAAAATGCGCTGAGTCGTCGACCTCACTCTCCCTTCCCATTCCCACACCCCAGCCACTGTCCGAGCCGGTCAGTAGACTGGAGTGGGGAATGGGCGCGGTGGCTGACATGGTCGACTGACCATGCCTGCGCGCGCCACAGCACGACCTGGCCCCCCATACACACAAACACCAGGATTTCACACAACGGGGGTTGAACGGCGTGTCTCTCACATGCGTGAGAGGGCCGTGGAAGGTGCTGCTTCAGCCCGTCCCCAGCCCACCAGTCCGCCACTACACAACACACACACACACAACGTGACGACCACATTCAAAGAGACGCCATTAGGGTTTGTCGAATTAGCGGTAGCACGAACCGAATCTGCACGTTCAGGTTTTGCAGTCCGCTGGCATGCTCGATACCTTACTATCATGCGATTAGATCCGGTTTTGCCCATCGAGATGACGCCCATTGAGACCACGAGGGTGGCGGTCACGAGTTATGTATGAAAGTAGTGCGTACAAACTCCCTGGCCTACAGTGAATGTGTTAACTCATGAAATCTTAACCGAAATCCTCAAATATGTTTTAACTCGAATAGGTTACTAAGGCAGGACTCTATTTCTAAGTATTATGTAGCATATCTCAAAGGTGTTTCAGTCACGACAGGATTCCGACTTTTGAACGAGCTCTCATCCGGTCGTCTGCAAAAACTGCACTATGCAAAAGTGACTGTTTACTTAAAAGAGCCCCCACCCCGTTGATTTTCGACTTTCTTAAAAATTTGAGCATATTTCGCAGAAAAATTGCAAGCACATATTAGTTAGTTTACTCAGTTGGTTGCTAATCACGTCCTTTTCAAATCTTTTCACTCGAAGAAAGGATACTTAGAGTTTTAAAAATTTTCTAAATATGAGATTTCATAAGACCGCGAAATGTCAATTCACTGCAAAGTTCAACGTTGCTTGTAGATCATACTGTATAGTTCAAATCTACTAGGATCCCACATATTAGTCACATATTTACAGACTGACGGCCGAACGGAAGCTCGTTCAAGAGCCTATATCCTAACGTAACTGGAACATCTTGGGATGATGCTACATGACGTTTGGTCTTGCACCCCTGCTTAAGTAATAGCTTCGAGACAAAGACGACTTTTAGAATATTGGTTAACATTTCATTAGATAACACATCTGCTGTGTGCTTTGAGAAAGGTTACCATCCGGCAAAGACAGAGACACACTCTTTGACGTCAAAATACAAGAATGGAATTACGGAAAACGAAGATGTCAGAACCCAACAGCTTCTTAAGAGTCTTCAATGCCAGTGCGCCTTTCAGGTTTGTGGCTGTGCTTCTGTTAGAGATATAACGTAGTTCAGGTAACCGCTGGTGCCCTTGTCAGTTTAAATATATTTTATAAAACAGCGCTCGCAGATGTATCTTTTTGGCGCTTATTCGGTAGCAAAGCGTTTTTTTTCAAATTGCACGGTTGCAACACACACACCTAGTCTTTTTCGAGTTTTCTAATGCTTTAAGGCCAGTTCTGCCACTTTATTTTCGTTTATACTTTCCGCACAAGTTACAGTAGGTGGGCTACCTCATGAAATGTCAACCGAAATTCTGAAATGCGTTTTCGTTTCGAAACGACTAATTAAGTTGGTTTGTAAAATTAGTCAGCCTTCAACATAGTTCTATAATATTTCAGTTACATCAGTATGCCGGGTTTCGAACGAACTTCCTTCTGGCTTCATGCAAACACAACACTCTCTAAGAAATGACTACTTAAGTAGGATGCATTGTTTTCTTCGATCTTCGATGCCCCTAAAAGTCCAATTATATTTCACGGAAAACATTGATAAACTATTCATTCTTCCGCTCATTCGGTAGAACATTACGTCTTCTTTCAAGTTTATAATCGAAGGGGGGCCAATTGTGGGATATTTAATACCGTTAAATGGCCATTCATGAATCGTCATGTCCCTGCTTTTACCAATGTGGCTTGTAAAGTTAACATTATGGATCAAATCAAGTGCTAAATTTTATGAACCCCATATAGCCTACTTTCAATGACGTAGATAAATGTATTGTTTTCCGTATGCGGAAAATACATGGCTTGCAGTTTGGAAGCCCTGAATGCAAGTGTGACGGCAGAGCGGGTTCAAAATTATTCGAGCATTGGAAAACTTTATGAAAACCGGATAATACGCTTCCGTCGAGTACATTATTGGAAGAAGACGTAGTTATCTGCCAAATGAGCTAAAGAGGAAATATTCTTATGCATGTTTTCAATGAAATATAATTGGGCTTTTAGGGGCATCGAAAATCAATGAAAAAAATGCATTCTACTCAAGTAGTCATTTTTTTACAAAGCATAGTTTTTGCATACAGCCGGTAGGAAGTTCATTCGGAAGCCGGCATCCTTAGGTAGCTGAATTATTATCGAATTATACTGCAGACAGATTAGTTTTACAACCCTACTTAACTAGTCTTTTCGAAACGAGAACGCATTTCGAAATTTATGTTGACATTTCATGAGTTAGCCCACCTACTGTACATCAAGCATCCCTTCATGACAAAGAAGGAAATACCATATGGAGTCCATAAACTTTTGTAATGGATGGAAACCGTGTTGTACAATTCATAAGCAACATCTAAAACGTGCGTCTACCAGGCTTTATGAATAAAAATTTCGAGGTCTTTCAAGTTCTTGTAATTAGAAATTCCTTAAACTGATTGATAATATACTTTCAAGTGAAAGGTCTGAAGAAGACCTAATTAGCCACAAAATTAGGGCAAGTAAGCTCAATTTGGGGCAATTGTCTTTCCAACACGACACGTTTGAATTCATATGGACACCAAAAATAAAAAGAAATAATGTATATTTCACAAGCGATCCTTTTGACGGAACGTCTGAAAAGGAATACATTCAAAAGTCAACATCGTTGCGTGACTGAAATATTGTGGAATTAAGCCGCCCAGTGACCAATATTACAATTCCACCTACGTAATCCTTCCTAATTGTAAGTGTGTTTAAGAATTTCGGCTAACTTTTCGAGAGATTGATCATCTACAGTAAACAATCACCCTTTGATTGGTTGTAATGATAGGGGCTTCAAACAATGCCCTCCTTCCCACGCATCATCAAGGCCTCTTGGCATGCCGGTCTCCAATTTTCAGGAAACGGATATGAGTATCCTCGGTCGATCTTACGGTCAGACTTGCTGGAAGTGAAAATGTGAAGAGAAAGTGTGATCCATGTTGCACACACATTCGGAACCCTAGGCTAACTCACGCGTAATCCGTTTTCACTAACGTTACGCCCTGATCACCTTGAAGGCAACGTCGTCGTTGCAACCGAATACAAAAATAATATCAGACTGTGCTTGCCAGTCCAAGTTGATAACTTACACGTGAATGCCGCCACACAGTGAATGGTTTTGGCAAAAGGTGTGGCCTAGGTGACGCGTTTGCACGGTTGCCGAATGGCTGGCTCACACAGCGCGGCGAATTAATTACATCAAGGCAACGAATAATGCGCCCGTGTCTAAAAATTACTGCCGCCTCCGGACTCAAGCTTTAGGGCTCCAGAAAGACGATAAAAGTGCGATTGATTTTTTGGAGAGCCATTATTACCCGGCAGCCAGACGACAATGCTTCATCATTCGGCACTTCCGAAGGAACTCTTGTTCTATTTACTGGTGGCAGTGACTCTGCTTAATTTTCTGTTTGCTGCAGAATATTGGATTTCCGTCTGTTGGAAAACACCCATCGACACGCATGAAGATATCCACCACGCGGATTGGCAACGTCTCGTTTTCTCGCCGAAGACAAGCAGCTTTGAGTTGTCACTGGCAGTGCAGGTTGTAGGCAATGGCCACGGCCGAAAAGGAAGTTCCGAGCAGCGAGTTCAAAGTGAAGTCTTTCAGAAATCCCCCTCCCAGAAAGAGCGATACACGTTTGAAGAAATGGCGGAGATTAAGGATGAAAATTGGGTACAACCGATCCCCCGTCAGGTCTACTTACTCTATCCACAGGCGCTGGATATGAAGCGGGTGGTGTTCGACATAAACAGCCGCCGCCCTATACCAGAGGTAGGTATGGATACCGGAAAGGAAGCGTATTGTAGTACATAATTTTGTTTTTCATTGCTATAGAGGGGTGCATTTATGCAATTCCTCAAAGAATCAGACAAGTTACAGAATAATCTTTCTAGGTAAATCTTACCCCACGTAGGCGAGTGCACACTTGTAAAAAATTATAATCCAAGTGTGCAGCATCAGAATATCTGTTTGGCCGTGGTATTTTTTCCAGTCGATTCCTCAAGCAGATGCTTGATGAAGCTTGCAGGGGGCGACGGACGCTAATACGGTAGAAGATGATTGTCCTCCTCCAAACCTTATGCGATCATTTTTCTCTGAAGTAGCTTTCGAACGAAAACCTGCCGGCACTACACATCGATGTTAACTAGCTTCTTATTCCTTAAGAGTTCGGACTGAATGGCTCCTCGGATGTGCTACAGTACGCTCTGCAAGATCATGGATTAGTCTGTCTCTCTGACCGAGCCACTGACGTCGACGGTTAGTGCTTTGGAGAGGAATCCACTCCTCGTCACCAGTGGAAACTCTGTACAAAAATGAATGCTGAGAAGCTGTTGTGCAAAAAAATGCTCACAACAGTTGGACTACAATTAATGATTCTCTTCAGACAGGCAGTGCATAACCAATTTTCCAGGCGCAAACACTCCCAGTCCACTTAAATTCGAGCAGGACAGTCTGGTGCCAGAAGACAAATTTCCGCCAACTACCGTAGATATACTGAAAGGATAAGCTCTGTCAATTCCATCAGCCCTTTCTAATTAGTTCTTCTTTGGCTTTTTCTTTGCTACAATGTTCCCATTTCTAATACACGCAAGGCAATTTCCACATGTTCATTCGTGTTCAGGACCGCAGTGTTTCGAGTAGATTTTCCTTCTACGCCTTCAATAGGATTTTAACAGTAGCAAGTTAAGACGGCTACAGCGGCGTCTTTGCGTTGCGCTTGAAGTAGTATATAGAGAGGCGGGATTGAGCAGCATTTGCTGCACTCTATTTTACCTCAGTCTTCATTTTGTAAAGATGGCAGCGCAGTGTCAAGATGAACCAAGTCGGATGCGCAGGCACTTTTCTCGCGTGCGGCACACGCGACTGGGCCCCCAATGCATGTATCGAATCAAGATAAGGTCTAACCTCTTCAAAAAACTCGCGATTCTCCTTATTACATCCAGTCCTTACGTGCCCCCTCACTTCACACATCTGGGCCCTTTATTCTGTGGTTGCCGTGTTATTTTGCAGTCGTGTTTCCTGCTTCTCAGGCCATTTTTATAGCGTATTTGTAGTTAATACCATAAACAATTTGCCAGACGAATTTTCTAGGACATTTTTCACGCCTTGCAAATTACTGTGAACTGACTACTCCCATCCCCCTCCGTCATCTTTCATAATCTCAGCCGACACGTTATAGGGTCAGAATCTACAGACTGACATTAGACTTGTCACCATAATGGTCACGCGGTATCATTTTTTATCTGAAATTAAAAACAAATAGGAGTTATCTCCTGTTGGCCGCATTTCGTTCCAATAGAGCTCAGGGGACCAGTCGCGTGCTTTGACAACCATCTACAAGTAACAGTTCAGGGAGCGCTATTGTCGCGCTTGCTTAAATTCTAGGCAAAACCCTAGCCACTACGAACTTTGGATCGTTTCCCGAACTGACAGAAAAGGAGGTGGAAGCCGGTATAGAGAGTATAGTATTATGTTCAGAACGATCTGAGAACTAGTTGCAACAAATGGCAGCGGGTCGAGGGCACATGTCTGGCGTCGCCAGAACAGGCGCGGGTCGTCGCAGCGTCGGGAGCAAAAGCATGTCTGAGTCGACCTTGAAGTTGATGGAACTACTTGGATTGCTGTGATCGGTCGGGAAACTGACTGTGTTTGGTACTAGGATAAGTAGGCTCGAGAGACAGAGCTTTGCATCGAGCACCCAGAGTAGGGCCATCACACCGGTACCAGGAAGCAGATGAAATGAAAGAGACTTAATAGTTGGAGCAAACTCTCTCTTTCTCTGACCTATCGTGTGCGCACCCAAAGTCAGCATTATGGGCAAAAACTGATGAGGAGAGAGATTTGAAGAAGAAGAAGAAGAAGAAGAAGAAGAAGAAGAAGAAGAAGAGTCGAGCACCAGAACAATTCGTTTATTATCCTGAGCTTTCATACTCGTACAGGAGTCCATCGTCACATGTGGCCGCCCACACCTACGAAATGGGTCACGAGTTTGACTTCGCAGCTACCACGCCGGAAACAAAACAGGCCGAGAATTGATTGAAGCCTGGGCCTCGGATGAGAACTCGGTCAATCGATTTATCGATCTGGCGCCGGCGTACAGAGCTCTTCGTAGTCACCTCCAGTCGTGCGACGTCGGTCGATGATTGGGTCTATGTGCCTTATAACTGCCGCTTGTTCTGTTTCTGCCACTACCTCTGACGATGGACTCCTGTACGAGTCTGAATGCTCAGGATAATCAACGAATTGTTCCGGTGCTCGACTCTTCTTCTTCTTCAAATATGTATACACCTGGAACTCGAAATTTCGCCTTCATTCGTGAGAAGAGAGATGCGTAATATGTGCAGTATGTATAAGACGCAGCTGATAGGCAACCACACGTCTGTCTAAGTGAGTAGCTCCATCATGCATTACAGTCAGCAATATACAGTAGATGGGCTAACTCAGGGAATGTCAACTGAGATTCCGAAATACGTTTTTGTTTCGAACAGATTAATTAAGTACAGTCGTAAAACTAGCCAGCCTACAACATATTTCTATAATATTTCAGTTTCCACAGGATGCCGGCTTTCGAATGAATTTCCTTCCAGCTGCATTCAAAAACTAAACTCTGTAAAAAATGATTACCAATGTGGCATTACTTTTTCTCATTGATGCTCGATGCCCCTAAATGTCCAATTATATTTCATAGGAAACATGCATAAACATATTCATTCTTTTACTTATTCGGTGAAAAATTACGTCTTCTTCAAACTTTATACTCGAAGATAAAGTACAATTCGGTTTTGAAAAACTTTTCGAATTGTGAGATTTTTTAATACCGTGACATGGCCCTTCATAAAACGTCATGTATCTGCATTTACTAATGTGGTTTGTAAAATTGACAATATTGCTCAAGTCACTGCTTAATTTTTTGAACCCCATATGGTCTCCTCTTAATGCCGTAGAGAAATGCATGATTTTACGCACATGGAAAATATAGGGCTTGTAGTTTGGAAACCCTGAATGCAAGCATGGCAGTAGGTCGAGTCCAAAATTGCTCGGGAATTAAAAAAGTTTTTTAAAACCGAATTATACTCTTTATTTAAGAATAAAATTGGTAGAAGACGTGAGATCATACCAGTTTCTACGAACTATAATTGAATTTTCAACGGCATCGAAAATCAATGGGAAAATTGCATGCAACTTAAGTAGCCATTTTTTCCAAAAATATAGTTCTTCCATACAGTCGAACATAAGTTAGTTCGAAAGCAGGCATCCTGCGGTAAGTGGTTCATGATAAAATTATGCTGGACGGTGATTAGTTTTACAACCATACTTAATTGATCTTTTTGAAACGAGAACGCATTTCGAAATTTCGGCTGACATTTCTTGACTTAGCCCACATACTGTAGGATCTGTAAAGTCTAAGCAATGAGTGTGTCTTCAGGACATAACAATTCTCAGAACAAGTCCCGAGAAGGATGACTTTATTGAGCATAGAATTACGAGTTGCTATGGCCACTACCGAAGCCTGAAGTAGTGTTCCCTGCGTCTAGTCATGTCTGAAGGAGAGAGAGAGTGTGGGACAAGTGGGCGCAGCTGCTTGTGTAGGTCTGTTGCGCAGAGATTTAATTTTTGTTCAACTGGTGTGTTGAATTAGCCGAAGGGTAGTTTTTTTAGTGGCCCGTTGTTGCACCTGCCGAGGGATGGCGTATTCAAATTGCGCATAGGTGTCCGCGACTTTTTCAGCGCACTTGTGTCCGAGAAAAGGGTCGGTCAAACGGCTGCAGATCAGCTCGACTGTGTAGATGAATGACTTTGAGGCAGCGAGGCCTTGGGCTGGACTCCAGACAGTGCACTAACAGCTGTCAGCAACAGATGTTTGAATCCTCGCGCACTCCGGCTTTATCGCTGGCAAACAACTAAAGTTTTCTGATGGAAGCGAACAGGCGAGTTCCAGGTAGCAGTTCAGAGGACGAAGATGCGATCACTGGAAGATGAAATTTACTGTCCTGACGTTTCGGATTCTCGCTCGAATCCATCAGCAGAGACATTCGCAGATAGCACCCGATCAGTCACAAACGCAGTTGAGTAAGGGCGCTATACCGGCGCATTAAGACGGACTGCAGTGAAATGGAAGACAAGGTTGATTGATTACAATATCTTCGACGGGTCATGAGAGCCAATGGCTACCCGCACAACTTTGTCAACCAGTGCATACGAAAAGCACAGCAGAGACTTAATCCAACCGGCCCCAAATTTTGGCGGGCTCTTCCGTACGTGAAGAACGTCTCGGAAGCCGTCAGTCGTCTTCTCAGTCCACTTGGAGTTGGGGTTGCACACAGGCCGGAAGCAACCATTAGGCGCCAAGTCATGAGGCCAAAAGACCCACTGTCACGGCAGGAAACGTCTGGAGTCGTTTACCGGATCTAGTGTAGTTGCGGACAAAGCAACTATGTCGGAGAGACTGGGAGATTACTCGTTACGCAAATTTCCGAACACGCAGCAGCAGTGAGGCAGAGAGACGCTAGCCCTCAGGTGGCGACACATTCGATGGAACCCGGTCGCATTTTCAAGTTTCAAGAGGCCGAAATCCTAGCAAAGGGTGATAACCGCGTGATCCGCGAGCTGCTCGAGTCATGGTTCTCAGGCCCACAATCCATCAACAAGCACAATGACCTCCCCTTACTATATCCCGTGCTAAAATTTTCCCTGGACAAGGGAATCAGTCACGTGGGGAGGACGCGGGCGAGCAATTATGCCGGTGACAGTGAGCCAATTCGCCGAGCAATCGTCACACCAGCACCCAGCACGGATGACGAAATCACGGCCATTAACGACTCGGACTCGGACTGACAAGCCACCACCGCATCAATTACAACCCCAGCAGTGATTGCGAGAGCTGCTAATTACAGTGCGCATACAATCCCACGGCAGCCACGTGCTATAAATACTGCACGCCTTGTGCCCCCATCACCTTTATTTGCGAATGTCTCTGATGATGGATTCGAGTGAGAATCCGAAACGTCAGGCCACCAAATTTCTTGTTCCAGTGATCGCATCTTCGTCTTCTGAAACAACTAAAGTGTCCATTCCTTTGTCTTACCCATCAGATGTCTGAACAGCCCTTTTTTCACTTGACAGGCCCCCATATTTAATCAGACCATCAGATACCTTAACGTCAGCTCGACTGTCTGTGTGCCAGGAAAAGCAGTCACAAGGCCCCTGGATGCTATTGTGATGGTCAAGTCAGCCGTCTACAACTTTGAAGATCGCGATCGTTTTCGCAAGGCCTATGCTACAGAGGCCGAGCGTGAACCCGGCTTCCAAATGGCCATGATCTTCTCCCTGGGACTACCCCGAAGCAGAGGTGGTCGGTTTTTCCAACGCGACGGTTTCAACATCTCCCTACCAGGCCGGGCAGGCGACTCTATGGAGAAGATGGAGTCCCAGAGGCCGGAAGTGTTAAGGAAACTTGCAGAGGAGGCCCGAATCAACGGTGACCTCGTAGTGGGCGACTACGAGGACACCTACTATAACCTGAGCCTGAAATTATTTCACACCTTCCAGTGGGCCTCGCGCTTCTGCCGAGCTCATTTTACCTCTCAGAAACGACCGCCCGTTTTCATCCTCCTGGACGATGACTACGCCTTTAATGTGAGCATTCTTAGGACTGAGTTGGAAGCCCTCCCCGAGGCGCAGCGTCGACGAGTGACCTTGGGCTGGCCAATCAATAATGCTAGGGTTATTCGTCACCTGCTCTTGAAAACACATGAAAAGTGGTCCCTATCGAAACAAGAAGTGCCCTGGCCCACCCACCCACGTTACGCGCCCACTATTTTCCTTGCATTTGGTGCTGATGTCATGCAGGAGATTGCCCTGGCCATGTACTTCACTAAGCAGTTTCCGATAGACGATGCCTGGTTGGGTATGGTCATGACGAAATTAGACCTCCATCCTGAGCCACGCCGACACATGTATATCGACTGGCCAAAGAATGCCCAGAAGGACTTGGTTCTGTTTGCACCCTTTGATTACCTCTTTGGCTCCAAATGACAGCAATGCCTGTTCGAAACTGTTTTCTTGCTAAGTGAATGTAACTTGAACATGCGCATTTTTCTGGCTCTTCATGGGCTTAAATAGAACGTGTAAGATAGTGTTTTTTAAACGCAGTCAGAAGATCAAAGGTGTTAGGTATATTAACTTGCATTTTTCTTGGTTGTAAATGCGTGCGTATTCAGGTCATTTTTAGCCTCTGTCTATATGGGGCAACATCCGGCGCTTTTCGTCGGCCGGCATCTCGGAATCTGGTGGTTTAGTCTCTGATTTGGCGGAAATAGATGTGGGTTTCAAGGAGGAATGTCCCGCTGAAAGATCTCCTGGTAATTAGAGCAGGAATGTGAGCGCGTACCTAGGCAAATCTTAACTTCAACCAGACAATTCCCAGTGAGTCGAGAATGAGATTTCGTCAAGACATTGAAGTAGGAAATCATCCTAGATTCAACCTTAACCACAACCCCAATCGCCCTGGAATTTAGTTCAAGCCACCTGCATTTTAGGCGGTTCCTATTCCCATGTCCTGATAAAATGCGTTTTTAAACAAAGCGGCCCATAAGGCTCAAATGTTCGTACATGCGAATGTGCGAAAAATAGGTTCAATATAGATGCGTAAACTAGCGAATAATAAGTTCTCCAGAGGTTATAAAGGGCCTATACCAGAATTGACTTCAGCAGTAATTAGGTTTCTGTTGACCACTGCATACCAGACCGGTTGCCGACAGCCTTTTCTGAACGGCCCCTTCATTTGCTCGGTGGCCATCTGTCCAGGGGGAGGCATGCCCATTAATTTCGAACCACCCACTGACCTTTTAAGCTCTGTGCTGCAGACGTGTGCCACGATTCCAGCGGATGCGGTCTTTCTGTCCGCTTGCCTTCGATGAGTGTGGATTTTTGATCTTAGCGTCCGCACTCTCTGGTGTGCGCACTTACGCCACCATTTTGCAACGACGGTCGCCTAGACGATCATAGCTGTAAGTGTTCCACTGTATCAAGTATGCTTACTATGGTGGTTCCTACACATTATCGTGCCATGCCCTCCAATGCAAAACTGGAGATTATATGACTGTCGGCCTGCGTGGAGAAGGGGGAGGCTGTGACGTGATGGTTCGGTCCGCTACCACCGATCGATGTGAGCGCGGAGATCACTTGCGTGGGAATTTCTTCATTGCGGAGCAGACTTAAGCGACATCTATTCCACACTATCTTTTCAAACCCACAGATTTCCGTTCGCGTAACAGTATCAAGTCAATCGCCAGTGGGCATGGCGTCTGAGCGAACTAAACAACCAGCATACCAAGCTCGGTATCGTTTTTAATAACTATCAGCACTGAAGACGCCCACCAAATCTGCTCCCATCGTGAACCCGCTTTCCGGTTCCCATTTCCTCTGGTTGAACGTCTTCATTCTGCTCGGTCATGAACTTCGTCAAAAAGCAGAGCCAACGCCCACTCTTTGCATTAATGCATTAGCGCCATGTGTATGTATGTTTGGACCCCTGTAGATTTATCGCAGCTCTTCATGGTTAGTATTCGGTGACACATTTTCTGATTGTCCCAGCACATTCTGACGCCACATTCAGTTTGTCGGAAGCGGGAATTACCAACAACAACTTTTCCATCTAAGTGTTGTCGACATCTTGATAGCTTGCGAAAGAGTTAGAATTTACTCAGAACACCCACTTTGGTAATTGCAATTCCTGATGGAAATGAGTCAAGTGAGAAGGGATGAGAAAGGATACCTGCAGCCGTTTACATATCCAGTGTTTCCGCTTCCGTCCTCGAGGCATCAGACAAGGAAAACGACATAGAAGCGGTCGGAGATGGCATCATCCCAAGGCCTGTGGGGATTCTATTTGAGGCGGCGTCAATATCAGTTTCTAAAGGCAAAACATTGTCCCGCATGTGTGATCTCTTCCCTCAGTGTTGTTAAAATGCCATTCCTACAGGACTCCCCCCCCCCACCACCCAGTGTTTCTAGCCATGCAGAGCTGGTTAACTGGATTGCAGTTGAATGACAGAAGGACAGGCCTGGTTTGCTTACGTTGTTGTTACATGTGTCAGTTCTTAGCTCTTGAGTAAATCAAACTCCACCCGTTGGCTGTTATTTGAGCAGTAGCATTTAAAGACCATGAATGTTGATGATAAAAGCTTCATTAAAAATATCCAAGTTGTTTGCCCACTAAAGGCTCTCTAACTCGCCACCTCCTGAGTCGATGTGTCTATTTTTGGACCATTCTGCGGCTGCCTCAATTTGTGCCCATTAAATCACAGGTTACCTACCCATTACATTCAGCAGAACCCGATAGAAACAATACTCACCCATGAGTTCATTTTTATTCCATTGGTCCACCAAGGCCCTGAAGTTAATTCCGGACCTTACAAAATCGACATTCTCCAGAATAGCTGCATAAGGCGAATCAGCTTCGCCGGCCTCCAACAAAGTCAGAAAATCAGACAACCCTCGGCTGCTGGTAGTTATGGTGAAATCCGGGAACGCACCTCAGTGTAAATATATGGTCTGCGCATCCACGTCCAGCACAAAATCCGGCTTGGTTGGACATTCTGCTGGAGTCACGCATAACTTTTTCCATATAAGTCTTGCGAAAATTCCCATAGAAGGATTCAGAAAACCAGTTACGTGTGCTCTCGATGAATTAACTTATATGGGAATGGTGTAGAAGTGGAACATGGACGGACGATAGAACTCGACTACAGTTCATGTTTTCATGCAGGTGGGTTGTGGAAACAGTGCGGAGAGGGTAGGAATAAAAGCCACCTGCTGAGGTACCTCGCCTGCTTCGTCACATGACGGTCGAGACATTGCATGCCACCATGTGTGTTTTTCACTTATGTGAGACCCGTGTCCTTAGTGCAGTCTGGTTCATGGGAAATGAGACACTAACGCGTAGGTGAGATTTACAGACGGGCGATGTCACGTGACATCTCCAAGGCAAATCGGTGGGCATCTTGGCTGAGTGTCGCAGTACATCCTATGTGGATATTACGGCAGACGAATACCATTCCGTACTCACGCAATACCAGAATTCGCCTAGGACCACTGAGTGTCACTGATCATTAAACCCACTCTCATTTGTGTCACGCGTTCCAGTAAGTGAGAGGTGAAACAGGCGTGCGATCGTCTAGTCTGTGCCTGGACTGACGCCATGTAAAAAAATGCTGTCAAGTCATGCCGCACAGACTGTAGGCAGTTGTTTCGCTTATGATGAGGATGTTCGCACACATCTTAGTTTTGTGCCAATTGAAGCACCCGTTTTTAGGATATATTTGAAAAAAGAAAAAGACGCCTAAGCATGCAGAAGATGGTGGCCTCATACGGCCGGTTTGTACTCTTGCTAAGCGCTTTTGCTTTAGAAAACTCCCGAATGCGATCAGTCGGGCTCAGTACATCAACCTAACGGCAGTTCACATTTATGGTGCGTGCTCTAACCGCCTACGGGGGTCTTGTCTCTTTCTGCACATCGTTCCTGACCAACGAGACGGGACCTTCAGTGTCGCTGTCGGATTGCCAAGTGACCAGCGTCAGTCAGATGTTGCGTGACTGCGCATTTCGACATTTGTTTCTTGTTTTTGGCAGAGGGTACTCCGATTACCGGAGCATCAACGATCCTTGAGTCCTTACTGAAGTCTACATCACAAAAGCTTTTTATTTCGCTGTGTGTAGAGAAGACATCTCTAGTTGGTCCCATTAAAACAGATGGTTTTTTTTAATTTAAAGTGAAACGGTAGAGGTGATGTCTACTTGTTCAACTGTACATTCGAGTCGCTGCTTGATTACGTGTGGCATATTTTCAACTGAAAGTCGTATATGTATTCACGGACTTTTTGGGACCGTCACTTTTGTTCTGCCTAATTTTCTAGATATTCGATTCTCCGCCTGTATTTTCAAGCAAATTTATTACATAAGCATCCATATATGGGGTACAGATGATAGCAATTCAATTTATTCACAAAAGTTCGGGGCTCTCATCCCGCCTTACTGGGATAAAAAACCCGAAATTCATGTTCATGTAGACCGTTTCATCGAGGAGCCCTCCTCAGTTAGATTGTGCTCGTCGTCTGCCGTTGGACTGTCGGTCATGCTCTGTTCAAATTCATGCGGAGAGAAAAAAGGCAGCTGTCGTGAGAAGGGTCAACCTTTATTGGCCGGAATTTCGCTTTGGCAGATCTTCGCGGCAGTTACGCAAATGCATAAACACTGGTGTGTGCTGAATTCTCCCTCATCTGTATTTCTTAAACGCTTCTAACAATTCATAAGCTGTTAAGACTGCGATGCACATTATAGGTCCTTTTACCCTCCGACTAGGCAGACGGACGCATAGTGTAGCCCATTGTAAATATATATGTGCGATGGTAGAGGGGCGCTCATCGATCAGGCCCAACCGGCCGGCTACTAGTTGGGCTCGAGGAAGAGCCCTTTAGAGACTAGGGGACGAGTGAGTTCCGTAAAACCGATCGGTGAGCGTCCCTCTAACATTGTATGTTCTCGATCGGAACCGACAGGGCAACGGGCTCGTGGTCCAGTTGTTAGAGGTGTGGACTTCTATCTGACAGGTCGCCAGTTCGAGACTCGGGTGTTCCACACTTCGGGGCTGAGTGTGACTGGCTAACGACGGCTAATAAGCCAAGAATGACCATTCCAGTCTCCCTTGTCTTTGTCGGTAATGCTATTCTGCATGTATGTGAGAAGAAGAAACACTCGCCGGGAGAGATTACTTATAGGTATGACGTTTTGAGTAGCCATCTTGCCTACCTATCATCAGAGACTAGAAAGTAGTGCACGCAGTTAGCATTATAGGGCGCACATTGCTTGACGCGTGACCCGCCAATGACGCATGTGTGGCCGCATCTGACCCGCATTTTACCGTGACCAGTGTCGTTCTCGCCCTCGTTGACCTCGGCAATAATTGGCGGCCGCGACTGTCTCCTTCACGCAGTTTCGTAAAACCGGATAGAGGGGGAGGCAAATTAATGTGGCCA